TTTCTGTGGGAACGGGAACTACGTTGTAACAGGATCTGTATTATTGTTGTTTGGCCTCTGAAACAGCATTTTGATAACAGGATACCATACTTTGTAATGAAACTAATGAATCAAAAAACCAACCATGTGTGGAGCCAGAATCATAACTTAGTTCAGGTTAACCTCTTCAACTGTGTCATGTAAAAATGGATGAGTTAATTCTGAACTGACCTCACTTTCACAGCTCATTTCTGTAAAAAAGGTTATGTATATCTTTAAATGACTTCATGAATGTTTTCTTATTAAATAAACTTATCTGAAAGTCAGTGTTTGCTAAAATAATGTTGTAATAGAAGTGCTAATATTCAACAAAATTGAGTGCAAAAAGTAGATTCAAATAACTTAAAATGCTTTATTGATAAAACTACAAAATAACTTAATTTTTTACAAAAGTAAAAGCAGAACATATTCAAAGTCACTGCGGAGTCTGTTTGGTACGAAGTTTCTGTAACGTTTTCTGTGAAGAGAAAGTAAAAAATATCCTCAAATCTCAGTTCAGACAACAATCAACATAGTTTAAACTGCAGTTCTCTAATAAACATCTTTATTATTATTATTATTATAATTATACATTATTGTGTTATCTTCTCAAACAGTGATAATTGTTTTACCATGTGGAATTCTTTGGCCTTCAGTCTGTTTTTTGCGTAAGCCTCCTGTCTGCTCCTGATTGCCTTCTGATGCTTCACCTCCTCCAGCCGCTCATACAGCCTGGAAACAAATGATTGCATACAGATACAAGGCATCATTTCGTTTTGTTAATGCCACATCGTTTAGATGTAATCAGGTTTTATATTCATAGTAGTCACTGTAAGAAAAAACATCCATGGCTGAAAGACAGATGTTAACAGCCAGTAATACTGAAGCAGCACCTTTGAGTTCTCTGGTGCATCTCAGTAACATCTAGTTTCCTTTTCTCCGGCGGGCAGATCTTCATCTCGTCCACTCGTTTCAGCCTGGATTCGCTCACTGAGGGAACAAAGAAAAACACTAATTAGTTGCTACAGTTTCTCGCCACCTCAAGAAGGAACTGATTTATGACATTTACATGAAACTTAACAGGTTCTGAGTTTGTTCAAGAAAGCCATATAACACATTACAGTAATTATTTTTCTGACTGTTTATTAATAAATAAAGTATTTATGAATACTCATTCAGTGGGTATAAAAACTAATTTCATCACCATAACAGAATCTATCCTACAACCTTTTTTATTCTGAAAGGTTAAGATGTCCATATAAAAGTTGCTTCCTTGAATGCAGCTTAACTGACTTTTTTATAGTTTGTCTTGTTTTGCCAGCGATTATAACAAATGTATTGGTTTTATTATTAGTTGGAAGTGATTTGGGTGAAATACCTGGAGGGGGAAGCTGGGTCTTTTTCTGCTTGATGAAGCCAGATTTGTCAGTAGTTTGTTGCTGCTGAGTCTGTCCTCCCTTTGACTTGGTGTTAATGTTATGTTGAGGTTCTGACTTTGTCTTTGCCTTACAGGTGACTGGTTGAGAGCCCTTAGCTTCAGACTGCTCTCCGGCTTCAGATGGAGCTCGGCTCTCAGGCAGCATCTTGGCAAGAGCCCGTCTGGCCTTGATGTCTTCCACCCTGCGGGATGATCTCTGGAGCAGAGCTGTGCGCTTCTGCTGGTTGACCTCCCGCGTGGCTCTGATAGGACCCCACTGAAACTCCAGGAGCATCACTGAATGTAAGGAGGGAAAGGATGGAAGGCTTTACAATGAACAAAATGACGGAATATGAAAACACTGATTTTTAAAATGTTTTTTGTTCCTGATCACATCCATATTTAACTCAGAAGCAGGTTTCCCAAAGTTCAGCCATCTCACTCATGCAGCACTCCCAACAGCGTTTTATCAGTCACACAATATTCAGTAACTGATTTTACCTGCATCCGTTTGGTCCTTGTCCTGTGGAGTCTCATCCTGTAACAATGTGGATTCTGACCCCTAGAGAAGACAAGGTTTGTGATCAGAAAGACTCCTGAAGTCAAGCCAAAAACTCAACAACAAAAGACAGTCACCTCTGTCTCTTGGCCTTTCTGTCCTTCCTCCACCACAACCACATCTGGATGTTGGTCTTCCCAAACTCCCTCTTCATCAGTGGTCGTTGTCTCTTGGTCCTGCAGCGTGGTGTCAGTCAGGCTCACTAGCGTTATATCTGACTGCTCCAGGATCCCCTTCTCACTGGCAGCTTCCTGATAGACAGGGAGAGATGACAAGTTGACATAACATACAAGTTAAAAAAGGTTTAAAAGTGCTGTTGTGACAGGACAGAAGAACCGTCTGTAGTGCTCTGACCTTTAAAGGCACTGCAATGGTCAGTTAATGTCAGAAAGATTATGCTTTCTTCAAAGTTTACCAAGGGGAACGAGAAAAATAAAATCGTACCAGTATCTCCTCTGAGTTAGGAACAGCACTCCGCAGGTTTGAACCCTGCTCAGACTTCAGTTCTCCAACACAAAGGTCGCTGAATGGGACTTCATGCCTCTCAGAAATGCAGCTTCTGTCTCCTACGTCTGTCTGCGGCATGCTGGGAGTAGAAGCATCATCACACAGGGTTAGATTTGACAGACTCTGTGCGGTTATCTCCACGTCAGACTCCTGGGGGTGGTACTGGGAGGTGATGAGCTGGGAGGCAGATTCGTGTAAGGCGTGGGAAGCAGTCACGCAGCTGGACGGCTCCTCTGTTCTAAGTCGCTCAGGAGACGGTTCAGACTCAACAGAAGGACCGTCGGGGGTTTCAAACTCTTCAGAAGTTGTGGAGACGCTGCGTTCCCAGCTGGCTGACTGTCCTTCAGGAGAGTTTGGCACATCGTGTACGGGCAGGTGAAAGGTCATGCAGGCGTCTGCTGTTTCGTTGTGGGTGACTTCAGCCAGTAACGGGTGGAATGAGTCCGAGCTTGGAAAGACTGAAAATGGTGACATAATGCGCATAGTTTATGAAAAATACATTCAAATACAAGATAGCTGACTAAAACATATTTGACTCTTTTTCCCTAAAGTTCCCTTAAATGTTTAACTTTAAACTTATATACACCGCACTCCCTTGAAATGACTCGAGTATTTTGTGCCTCACCTTCACTCCTCTCGGGGCCCAGGTCCATTAGACTGGTTTGGCTCTGCAGCGTCTGGTCTTGTGCGTGTGGACTCACACCCGGGACAGAAGAACTGTGTGACGAGGCTTCAGGAGGCAACGCTGGGTATGACTGCACGCTGGCCTCAGTCGAAACACCAAGATCCACGTGGGTTCTTTCACCTACAAACAGCAGATTAGTTGACTCACAACCTCATTTCCCCACTTTGAGTGCAAAAATAAAGGAGATGAGCACGTCAAACCGGAGCATAGTGTGTTCACAGAGCAGATTACATATGCTGATATAAACTGGCAGTGCAGATTGCTACGGCACTGGCATTCAGAGCTTTTATTTGAATTAAACTGTATTAATTCCTTAAGTGATAATGAGGGCATCAATTCATGTTTCACCATAGGACAATGTTTTAACTACGACTGCAACTAACCATAGTCCACTTGATTACTTTGTTATGTACCCATTAATTGTTAAACTTGAATAATTTGATGATGGCCACAATGTTTTATTGTTAATCAATAGAAAGTTGGAGTCTATCTTTAATCTTCCAGTAATTTTAAACTTTACTGCCCACATCAGGCACCTCATACAGTCCTTTCACCTGAGCTTCCACTGTGCTGGCCAGCAGACTCATCCAGCTCCCCAACCAGCGGTCTCATCCGGCTCCCCTCTGGACCTTCCTCCAACCATGTGGTCGACTGCTCCGACGCCATCTGAGCCATCAGCTGACCCGCATAAAAGTCGCGTCCACCACTCAGCCAGTGTGAGCTGGACTGATGGGAGAGTCGACCGATCATCCGACTCAGAGTGGAATCCCATCCAGCTTGATCCAAACTCACTGAAACCGGCAGACCTGGTAACTGACCGATCAGAGACGAGTGCGCTGATGGTTGACCAACCAGCTGCTCCATGGCCAAGTCCCTATGGTCAGCAGCCAAACAGGAGGACTGGTCTGCCAGCTGGCCAATCAGGGGTCTGAAAGAGTCCTCGGCCAGGGATGGGTCCTCACCTGAGAGGTGCTCCAGGACTGGATTGACTTTATTGTCCCATTCCTATAGTAAAAACAAAACATCCATTGAATGCTGGGTATTTTATAGCTGTATCAAATATTTATAATGGACTTCTGTTTATGAGTTTAACGTCAATGGGAAATACGACCAGAAAAGGAGAGATAGAGCTATGTTAAACTATTTTCCCAAATAACACAAAGGATTGTGGGTCGTAAGTCACTGACCAGGTCTGTCCTGTGTGTCCCTGCTGTGTCTGAGGGAAGTGATTGACGAGCTGAAGAGCTTTCATTGTCCTCTCTCCTCTCCGGGGCTCGAACCAAAGACTGCAGAGGAACTGAAGGGTCAGGTTCATCCACATATGAGCCTTCACTGTCTGCAGATCAACACAGAGGAAATAAGACTTATTGTTGGTTTCACACTTCATCCATCTGTAGTCAAATTCATTTTAAACTGGTATTTTCTTTATGACATGTACACACAGACTCACTGAGCTCAGTTCAAGTGTAGAAACCCTCATAAAATGTATTTAGATTAAACACACTTTAGGTCCAGTATTTTTACATCATCGCTCAGTAAAGAGAAACAAACACACACAAAGACAAACTCACACTTACAGTCATACACATTCACTGGCTGGCAGACTCACACACTTACATTTGAAGATTTTATGGCTCTAGTCAGTGTTAACAAGTATTCAGATCATTCATTTACTTAAGTAAAAGTAGCCTGCTCATTATTTACTATAGTCATTTAATGGCCCCCATTAAGTGGTGTGCTGTTATATAAACTGTGTAAAAATAAGTCAATAAAATAAAAACACATTAGAACCGATTCTAATTGGGCAGTTTGTAGTTTTTTTATTTTAAAAGCTACTCATACTGTTGCCTTTTGGTAAATTTAATGTAATGTACATGCACACAGACTCACTGAGCTCAGTTCAAGTGTAGAAACCATCATTAAAAGTATTTACATTAAATACATTTCAGGTCTAGAAGTTTTGCATCATCGCTCAGTAAAGAGAAACAAACACACACTCAGATTAACACACATACACATTCACAAATGTGGCAAACTGAAGAAAGAGGGTATGATTGTGATGAATATGTGCAGTATACCTGTGGTTTTCCCAGTGGTGCTGAGGGAGATGTTAAGCTCCTTTGTGTATTTGTCTATAATGCGCTGGATGCTGCTGTCGTTAAACAGATCGCCTACAGCCGCACCTGACCGACAGCCAGAGCTGTCCTTAATACTGGAGCTCTGACTGGACGGAGAGGAGACATTGAGACAATCTGCTCCTTGTCCTGGTTCCACACAACGTCTGAGGTCCGGGGATTTAACTAATGAAGAAGTTGGATAAGAAGAAGAGAGGAGAGCAGATTTAGGTTATAACAAAGATAGAAACATAACAGCGAGCATGTTATTTGGTGTATATAGAGTATGGGTGTCATATTGTCACCACATTATCTTACAGGAACACAGCACCCAACAGGGCCAACTACCTGCAGAACTGAAGCGTCATCCAACAAGTCCCACCATAACGCCAATGATTTTGAAACACAGATTAATATTTTAATAATAAAGAGCCAGCAAACTGATGTTTGTAAGGGAGGGTGATTTAAATACAGTACAGATCATTGTTCGGGCGTCTCATAGACTTTCTGACCTTTAAAAGGTGAAGTTTCTATTGCTGGATTTAACAAGATTCAAAGCACAATCAACCGTACGACGAAAGCGGTGTGTGCTGCTCTCCTGCAGTCCCTCACCTGTGTTTACATTCTGCTCAGGATCAGTGGTGACGTAGCTGCCCGTGGAGATGGTGGTGGAGGAGAGACAGTCAAAATCAGGAGGCCTACATGCAGACTGACACATACATACGTACACAAACAAAACAAAAAAGTGTCAAGGAGATAAACATAACTCAGGAGACCCACTCACAGTTTTAGACATACAGTACAGTACACACAGATACACACACTTATATTTAAAGACTTTATGGCTCAATGTTTATGGCTTCTTGACGGTGTTGGAAGACGTATTCAGATAATTTACTAAAGTAAAAGTAGCCTACTTATTATGCAGAATGGCCTCCATTAAGTGTTATGTTATAAAGTTGCCAAAAGAGGAGCCTTTAAAGTTTCTTCAACACATTTTTAGAAACCATTGCCATTTTAATTTTCAGCATATTGTTGGTTTCACACTTCATCCATCTGTAGTCAAATTCATTTTAAACTGGTATTTTCTTTATGACATGTACACACAGACTCACTGAGCTCAGTTCAAGTGTAGAAACCCTCATAAAATGTATTTAGATTAAACACACTTTAGGTCCAGTATTTTTACATCATCACTCAGTAAAGAGAAACAAACACACACAAAGACAAACTCACACTTACAGTCATACACATTCACTCCATACAAGCAGAAGAAGTATTCAGATCATTTATTTACTTAAGTAAAAGTAGCCTACTCATTATTTACTATAGTCACTTTATGGCCCCCATTAAGTGGTGTTCTGTTATATAAACTGTAAAAATAAGTCAATAAAATAAAAACACAGATTCTAATTATTGTAGTTTTTGCCCTTATAATTTTAAAAGCTACTCATACTGTTGCCTTTTGGTAAATTTAATGTAATGTACATGCACACAGACTCACTGAGCTCAGTTCAAGTGTAGAAACCATCATTAAACGTATTTAAATTAAATACATTTCAGGTCCAGAAGTTTTGCATCATCGCTCAGTAAAGAGAAACAAACACACACACTCAGATTAACACTCTTACACATTCACTCCATACACTCAAGACACATACACACAACATACAGACGGACACAGGAAAAGCTTCTCAAGCATAATCAAAGGCTGAAGCAGACACTGTCCAAGCCCTCAGATTTGGCTAATTTTCATCACTGATCCACAACGTGAATCTCAGAGTGTATTAACACTGTGCCAATATGCAACATCTGTTTCTAAAGTACCATTATCACTGGTCTGGTTACCTCTGTGGGGGATCTGTAGCTTGTGATTGCAGGACCAGAGTAGTCAGCTCCTCTCCCAGAGTCGGAGGAAAGCGGTGACATTATCCTCAGCACTGAATCTGGAAAGAAATGTTCCAAACAAGTTATTATTAGTAGTATTAGTAAATTAAATACTACCATTTTCCTCCCTCCCTTCACCTGCCCCTCTACATACCAGACTGGGAGGATTCTGGAGATGTTCCAGCCCTCATCAGCCGTCTCTCATGGTCAGTTAGTCTTTCAACAGTTTGCTGCCCACTGCTGGACCAAGAGGGTGTCTGCAGAGTTGCATCAGAGGCCACAGATGATTCAGATTCCTCCTGTGGATCCCAGTCCGCAGTATGTGAAGGAACCTTCATAGTTTCATCCAGGCCTGGAGATAGGAAACATCGACAATCCAAGTCAACTGATATTCCTCACCATAGATTGACTTATGGTTTAACAGTCTGTTATTCACGTGTTTTGGTGCTCAGCTGACCTGTGACTTGGCTGGTGTTGCCTGGCGACTCCACCTCTTGAATAGCACTGAGCTCATGTTGTTCAGTCATCAGCTCCATGACGCCCAGCCTGACACGGGTCACCGGAGGCTTTCCTGCTCGAGGAGGAGGAAGGAGTGCTGAAGGGAGGACAAACGATGGGGAAGGTCCAGCAGGAACATTGCTCTGAGAGATCGGATCTAAATGGAAAATTAAAAAAAATAAAAAGTCATTTTAAGTGTATGCCATTTAATTTGTAATGGAAGAGCAACACCATCACTGATTCAGACCTAATTCAATTAAATATAAGTATTACACAAGAAAATGTGTAAAATAAATCCATTAAATTAATTTAATAACCAGTACTGAACAAAAAAGGGCACGACATTGTGTGTGTACAAGGGTACATAAGTTAAGTGGACAACATGTTCCATTCTGAAATTAAATGGAAATTGTGTCAATAATGTTTTCTGCAGTCTAACGTGTCAGTTACCTGTTTCACTACTGTTAGACGGCGGTTGAGGGGAGCCATCGTTCTCCTGAGGGTCTTCTAGGTGTGATAAAGTTCCTCCATTAGTCTCCTCAATAGCTTTCAGCAGGCACGCAAGTAATTTGAGGCGGGTCTGACCGTTGTCTGAAACCAACACTTCACTGGCAGCCTCTGGAACTGGCTGTGGCTGAGAAAATACAGCGGGAAAGTTGTTTTCATGCAATGTAATTAAAACTCGATATTTAAAAAAAACTTAGGATCAAGGAGCCTCAAACATTTCAGCTGACGTCTGAAAACAATTTGTCTACTGTGCTGTAACAAAAACACCCGTATAGCAATAGCCCCGTCACTTACTTGTGCATCAGTATGAATCAGAGCCTGCAAAGCCTCCTTTTGTCGCCTCATCTGCTCCATCTCCACTTCCTGTCTCTTCCTCTCCTCTTCTTGTTGCCTCTGCTGCAGCATCACTGCCTCCCTCTGCTCCAGCACTCGTCTCTGAACCTCCTGAAGCTCCCGTCTCTGA